GGCGATAGTTTGGTAGCCCAGTCCAGCCTTGTGTATGTCTACAGTCTTGGACAGCTCTTTGCCATGGTGGAGAGTTTGGAATTCGATTGTTTGATTGTTCCTGTGGACAGGTGTCTTTTATACAGGTAACAAAATGAGATTAGCAGCACTCCCTTTAAGAGACTGCTTCTAATCTCTGCTTGTTACCTGTATGAAAGACACCTGGTAGCCAGAAATCCTGCTGAATGATAAGGGATCAAATACTTATTTCCCTCATGAACATGCAAATCAGTGCATAATTTGTTAGACATGCATTTCTTTTGAATTTGTTGTTGCTATTCTGTCTCTCAGTGTTACAATACACCTACCATTCGATTTTTAGACTAATCATTTCTTTGTGAGTGGGCAAACATTCAAAATCAGCAGGGGATCAAATACTTATTTCCTTCACTGTAACTGCCAAAACCAGGTACCCTCTCCCCCTTCCTCCCTAAAAAAGTGCCAAATATGGCAGTGGGGGGGGGGAGGGTTGAAGGCAAACAAGTGGAACTTCCTATGCTTGTATAAATTGTTAGGCCACTGCTTTGATTGTTGTTGGACAAGTGTGCATTACTTTATTTTGGCTTTTAATTAAAGCACTTTAACCCCAATTTTATGCAAAGTTTGGTGGCAATGTAAAGTCACTTACCTGCACGACCTAATTTTTCTTCAGGGTTACGCAATATAATATATTAACTACCCTGTGGGCTGCAAGTACACAGAACAGGTTAGTTTCAGTTATTTTAAACTGAAAAAATTGAAAACGATAAGCTGCCTTTGTGAGGTTGTTTGACGTTAGCTTATCTGTTAGTTGTGTATCTTGGGATGGCATAGAGTGCATTTAAGTTTGCAAAGCTTTTAATGTTGCTGAGAAGCTCTGTTTTCCATTATTGTATTATCAGAAGAGTGGTTTACTGCTTTTAAACATTATTTTAACTATTTAAAGAGCACTTATCATTTGGATTGATTCACAGTTTGATATAGATGACTTTTTTCACTTTGTTTCACGTATATGGACTCTTTATTTCTGGGCTCGACAAATCCCAGGTGCCAGGTCACCATTGTTAAACTGGCTCCTAGATTCAAAGCAAAATTTTTCAAGACTCCACCCTCCCTTCCCCCCAAAAATAAGACTTTAGTTCTGCTTTATTGATCTTTCGATTTGTTTTTATTAGGGATGCACCAATACCAGTTTTTTTACTGGCGAGTATGAGTACTGATACTTTCGGTCAAGTACTCGCCGATATTGAGTACCAATACCTTTGCGATGTGATTTGAGTCCATACAAATTGTGAGGTCAGGCACCGATGTCAGATGAGAAGCCCTGGCTTGTAGTCTCCACTCTAATTCATCGCAAAGGTGTTCTGTCATGTTGAGGACAGGACTCTGCAGGCCAGTTAAGTTCCTCCACCCCATACTCGCTCATCCATGTCTTTTTGGACCTTGCTTTGTGCCCTGGTGTGCAGTCATGTTGGAACAGGAAGGGGCCATCCCCAAACTGTTCCCACAAAGTTGGGAGTATGAAATTGTCCAAAATGTCTTGGTATGCTGACGCCTTAAGAGTTCCCTTCACTGGAACTAAGGGGCTAAGCTCAACCTCTTGAAAAACAACCCCACACCATAATCTCCCCCCCCCCCCCCCCCACCAAATATTACACTTGGTGCAATGCAGTCAGGCAAGTTCTGTTCTTCTGGCAACCGCCAAACCCAGACATGTCCATCAGATTGCCAGACAGATGCATGATTCATCACTCCAGAGAACACGTCTCCACTGCTCTAGAGTCCAGTAGCAGCGTGCTTTACACCACTGCATCCAACACTTTGCATTGCACTTGGTGAAATAAGGTTTGGATGCAGCTGCTCAGCCATGGAAACCCATTCCATGAAGCTCTCTACACACTTTTGTGCTAATCTGAAGGCCACTCAAAGTTTGTTTAGCTATGCACTCTGCAGAGAGTTGGCGACTTCTGCACACTATGCACTTCAACATGCGCTGACCCCGCTCTGTCATTTTACTTTGCCTACCACTTCATGGATGAGTTGCTTCCAGTTTGTTATACCTCTAACATTGACCGTGGAATAATTAGTAGAAAGGAAATTTCACGGATGGACTTATTGCACAGGTGGCAACCTATCACGGTACCACGCTTGAATTCACTGAGCTCCTGAGAGCGACCCATTCTTTCATAAATGTTTGTAGAAGCAGTCTGCATGCTTATGTGCTTGCTTTTATACACCCGTGGCCGTGGAGGTGATTGGAACACCTGCGTCCAATGGGATTCTGCACACAGTGGCTGCCCTGTAGTAGTAAAATTGCTATAGGGTGGTTACCAAGTGATTAAAGATGAATTCCAGGTATTGTCGATTGGTAGACATCAGCAGAAGGGACACCTCTTATTCAATGTAAGTACTGTACCTTGTCGTGTTTTTTTTTTTTTTTTAAACTAAATCTAAGCCCCCCCCAAAAAGACTTTAGTTCTGCTTTAACCGCTTCCTGTCTGGCCCATGTACATAAACAGCAGAATGGGAAGCGGGTGGATGTTTCTAAACGTCCTCCCACATCAGAGGGTTTTGTGTGCGGCTCACAGAGCCCGCACCCAGGAGCCCAATGAGCGGATCACGTTACTGCTGTGATCCTTCTTTGGTTTCCATTATAGGAAGTCATTCCGCTTATTGTGGTGTTTACCAAAGAATATCTTTGAAGAATGTTCTCCCTATCCAGATACAATGTGGAAACATATGGAAATCTATGATCACGTAGCTAGGAAACTTCATTGCCTTATGTGGATTCCTGCTTGCCGATAATTATCCAGCTTTGAAGACGCTGAATGCTTTTAATTTTGTAATTTTATCATGATTTGTTCACCGTGTCCATGTCCAACCTCTTTATGATCCATGGGATCAAATAAAATATTTTTGTAGCTATTGAATGCAGTTATATTACTCCGCTTGGATTTTCAATTAACCACTTTTTGTAGTCAGTGTTGCCTTTGTCATACTGCCATATTTTCTATTATGTACTTTGGGTTTATAAATCCACATTTATACTATAAGTGAGACGGAGATATTACTTTGACACGGATTATTATTATTATTATACAGTATTTATAAAGCGCCAATAGTTCGCTCAGCGCTGTACATTACAAAGGGGGACAGAACATGTGACAGAACAATACCAATACAATGCAAAACATGAGGGGATTGAGGTCCCTGCTCTTTCAAGCTTACAATATAGGTGTCATATTAGGTGGCTCTTTTCTTTTTGTTTGGCACATTACTGCTGTGTCTGGATGATCACAAGGTGTTTTTTACCATGTGATGTGTCCAATCTCGGCAATCGTGTTGTAAACATGCCAACCCGAATGTAAAGTTCTGTCCTCTCTGCTCTCACACAGATCAGATGTGAGAGCAGAGAGAACAGTTGCTGCAGCCTGACAGTGTACACTGCCTATCACAGTGCATGTACACTCAGTGTAATGTAAATAAACTGCGAATGCTAGCCAGTCCCAGTGTCCCTGATCACTACCCCCAGTGTAATGTAAATAAACAGTGCAGCCAGCCCCCATCACCAAAGCTCACAATAACACCACCATACACCATACCAACATCCTGAGCACTACAATACCCTCTCCATGATCACCGCTATTTGCCATACGAGTGCCCTGAGCTCTACCATATGCCATACCAGTGCACTGATCACCACCATACCAGCTCCCTGATCACTACCATATGCCATACCAGCACCCTAGTCAACGCCATACACCATACCAGCGTCCTGATCACCGACATACCAGCGCCCCGATCACCGCCATACACCATATCAGGACCCTGATCACCGCCATACTAGCATCCTGATCACTGCCATACTAGCATCCTGATCACTGCCATACTAGCATCCTGATCACTGCCATACTAGCATCCTGATCACCGCCATACTAGCATCCTGATCATCGCCATACCAGCACTCTGATCACTGCCACATCATACCAGCATTCTGATCACCACCTAATGTCATACTGGCATCCTGATCACTCCCATACCAGCGTCCTGGTCACTACCATACCCCATACCAGCATCTGGCAAGAAAATGTGTTTTTTTTTTTTTTTTTTTTTCTTTCAAGATTTTTGGTATTTTTTTTCATTTAAATAGCAAACAAAACCCAGTTGTGTTTAAATACCACCAAAGAAAGCTTTATCTGTTTAAAAATGTGACAGTGCTGAAAGCTGAAAATTGGCGTAGACTGGAAGGGGCTGAAAGTGTCTGGACTTGAAGTGGTTAAAGTGGTTCTAAAGGCTCAATATTTTTTACCTTCATGCGTTTTATGCATGAAGATAAAAAACCTGTGTGAAGCATCCCCCCTAGCCGCCCCCACAAAATACTTCTCTAAGCCCCCTCTTGATCCAGTGATGTGCACTGCAGTCTCGGCTATCTCGGGACTCCCTCTCCTCATTGGCTGAGACCGAAGCGGGAACCAATGAGAAGAGATAGGGAGCGGGGCGAAGCCACGGCTCCTTGTGTAAAAGGACAAACAGAGCAGCAGGTGCCCTCATATCAAGCTGCTTGCTGTAGGGGCACCCGACAGGAGGGAGGGGCCAGGAGCATCAGAAGGGGACCCAAGGAAGATCTGGGCTGCTGTGTGCAAAACCACTGCAGGTAAGTATAGACATGCCATTTTTGTTCACAGTTTCTGATCCTTTTTTTTTTTTTTTTAAACTTTTTTTCACTCAAAGAAATCCGCCACACTCTTGAATTGAACTGTGAATCGATAAAATTTTTTTAATCGTAATTGATTAAAAAGACCTCATGACTAGTATTGTGATGGCTTAGAATAATTTCCACTGCAGCTTCAATGGCTTGGGTGCATGAATGTTGCTGTGCTTAAAGAATAATACTGTGTGTAGCCAACATATACAAGTCATTTTAAAAATTGTAATTGGAGTTATGCTTTTTTCAGAACTGACACTCCATTTCCACTGAAGTTATGAAAACCTACAGGCAGAGGGAGAAACCAGGAAACAAGCCTCAAGAAAGTATCAAGGCCCCGGATGAAGCAAAGATCAAGGTAATCATTTTTTCAGTGTAATATTGACTGCAGTCATGGTTTCTTATTTATCCAAATGTAAATTGTCTTCTAAGACAAAGTAATTAGCTACAACAATAAGTCCATCATATCAAAGCTTATAAAAAAACATGCAAGTCCTTTCACACATTTATATTTTTTCACATAAGAGATTGATTCTTTTAAGCACGTTTGTCAGGTCTAGGCTGCAAATTCAACATCACATCAAATTGCAAATTTGAGACTCTTTAAATAAAATGTCACATATTTCCCATTTGCGGTGCATTAAAAATGAAAGAAAACTCCTCCTACAAGTTTTAACAAGTGCTCAGCTGGACACTGATAGAAGTCACAAGACTGCTCTGACTGCAGATGAGAAAATTATTTATTTTTAGCAGCTTATATTTACTAAAATAATTGTATTTCAATGTTATCACGTGTAGTCCACTTTTTCATCATTCTTCTTTCTGCTAACACTATATGCACACCAGACTGAGATTGTTTTGAAGTCCCAATGTGTGATGATCAAGGCAAATGGTTATACCCTTGATTCCTTATGTGGGAGTTGCCAAATGTATCAAAGTAATGTAAATTCTTTACACCATTTTATCAGTACTTTGGAATTCTGCCCACTGCTTACATTAAAAGCTGCTTTATGATTTTCTGCATACAATTGGAAATTAATTTGTTCTTACGCTCCATACACACTGGGCATATTAATAATGTGGTAATGTTAGCTGTGTAAAGTCATGTTAAAAACGTGAGTTTTTTTCAGGGTGGATTTGATTTAAATCAAACTGATTTAAATCACGATTTAAATCATTAGTCAGTAAGGCTTGATTTAAATCATAGTTTTCTACATAAAGACAAATTCTTGCTGGTATAACTTTAATATGCAAGTAGGTGAAGATTTTTAGAATAACAACTTTTCATATTAGTTTTTTTATCCCCAGTTTAATAGGTTAATAATTCATATTTGGACAACTTTTCTGTTGTACTTAGGAAGGAGAAAAATAATAACATTACCTTAATAATAACATTTTTAAATAGATTTATTCAACTGAAACAATAACATTACAGCACATGTTATTTGCTTAAACAAACATCCATGTTTGTTAACTAATTTGGCTAAACAAAATATATATATTTTAAGAAACTTAGACTGTCAGCCCCTTCCTCCTCACACTTAGTTTCACTTTCTTCTTGTGCAGATCTATTCCACTCCAAACAATCAGAAAAATATTGTTTCTATTCTATTCACTGAACTTCTTGAAACTTAGCACTGAAGGGGTTGATTCTGTATTCATAGGTTTGTAGAAGTTAGGATGAAGGTCTTTTTCTTAACTCTGTTCATGTTATAACATTTTTGCTGTGAAGAAGAGACATGTGATCTCCGCTGAGTCAAATTCAGTTTTGAGAACTGCAAAAGTATACCAAGCATCTGTGATAATATCTTGTAGGGAGAGAAACTGCCCAATAATCTTACAAAACCTCTGGAAGAGCATGACATTGTGAATGGATTAATGGAATTTATTTACCAAAAAAATTAAACATATACAGCCTTATTCTACATAATTAAAAAACTAATCTTTATTTCATGATGGAATAACCTTTGGATGGTAATATATTTTCCTCAAAAAGCATTTTATTTTAAAAAATCCGATTTTAAATAAAAAAAATCCGATTTAAATAAAACAAATCCGATTTTTTTTTTTTTTTTTTAAATCATTGATTTTTATCCACCCTGGTTTTTTTAGTGTTTTTGCATTAGCGTTTAGCCGCGTTTTTTTCGTGTTTTCCTTTTTTAGTGGTTTTTTACACAAAAAATGTGTGTTTTTTTTGGTCAAACAAAGTCCAAAAAACGCTGGTTTGCCGTGATTTACCGCGCTTTGCTGTATTGTTCAGCATTAGAGTGTTTTTACAGCTAAAAAACTCCTCTAGAAACCCACTAGTCCTGGGTTTTTTTTCCAGCCAAAAAACGCCACTGCCAAAAAACATTGATTACAGGCTATTTGTGCATGGACACATAGGATAACATGCAGGGGGGTTTACTGGCTGTTGAAAAAAACGTCAAAAGCCAAAAACAGCAGCTGTAAAAACGTCCAGTGTGCATGAGGATCTTACAGTGGTTGTAAAGGCTGAAGATATTTTGCCTTCATACATCCATGCATGAAGGTAAAATATCTTCTGTATGCTGCTCCCCCTGTAGCCCCCCCTAATATTTGCTTGTGCCTGAACTTGATCCAGTGCTGTGCCATGGGAGCAGTGGCTCTCCAGGTTCTCTCTCTCCTCATTGGCTGAGACAGTCACAGCTAGTGAGGGGAGGGCTTATAGACACACAGAGGCGGCCCAGGAGCGAACAGGTATTAAGTGCCCCTGAGCAAACCGCTTGCTCTGGAGACACTCAGCAGTGGGGAGGGGCAAGGAGTGCACTGATGGGGGACCTGAGAAGTGGTAGATTTGGCTGCTCTGTGCAAAACCATTACTTAAAGCAGATAAGTATGACATGTTTGTAAAAAAAAAATACAGGAAAAAAAAAACTGAGCCTTTAGTGTTACCTTAAAGGATAAGTTCACCTTTTAGCAAAAAATAATAAATGGACATTTTTTGCAGGTAAAAAAAAAGTGCATTTACTATTTTTTGTTTTGGGAGCCTGGAAAGCATTGCAGGCATTGTTATATTCAAAAATGATGTGGCATTAAGCTCTAGGTTTATTCAGTAATATCAGGTGAGTGGTTTTGATAAATGCTTTCCTACCCTGGTTATCTTTGAGTGTATTTGAAAAAATTTGGAAGTTATTATCTCTCGTTCTACTGTAAGAAGTATTATGGAGCAGTTTGATACTGGAATAAATGTGTTATTTAAAGGAGACGTACAGCCAAGCTTTTTTGACTGTACTTCTCCTGTGGATCACAGAAGTGCAGTTCATTTTGCACTACAGTGATCCGTTGTCAACTGACAGCGGGCTAATGATCCAGGCTGGGGAAAGATCCCGACTGTCGGGGAACTGCTGAGAGCCTGAGCTAGCCTTTCCCTCCTTGTTCACAGTCCACCGCTCCAGTGAGTATGGGGAAGGGGAAGAGCAGACAGCGGTGACTGACGGTCACCGCTGTCTGCTCAGAGCGGCTGTGAGAACTCAGTGATGAGCGGCCATGTGATTGCTGAGTTCTCACACTTAGAGTAGGCGGGGGACAGAGGCAGCATCAGATCGATGCTGCATTCACCTAGGTAAGTATAATTGAGGGAAAAAAAATAACTATTATCTTTTAAATAAGTTAGAAGCCCCTTGGTATTTCTCTAAGAAACCTTTTTGCATTTTGTGCATTTAAAAGAAGCTTTATTTACAAACAGTTGACAATTTGTTTTTCTTCTCAGGCATTATTGGAAAGAACTGGATATAGTTTAGATGTGACAACTGGACAAAGAAAATATGGAGGTCCTCCTCCTGAATCTGTGGCCTCATGTGCACAGCCCGGAATTGGGACAGAGGTTTGTGTAGAATTACTTCCTGCTTTAAACACGCTTATATTACAATCTAAAAATTTTCCTTTATCATGTAATACTTTAACAGGTTTTTGTCGGCAAGATACCTAGAGATCTTTATGAAGATGAATTGGTACCGCTTTTTGAAAAAGCAGGGTCTATTTGGGATCTTCGACTTATGATGGATCCTTTGACTGGACAAAATAGAGGCTATGCCTTCATCACATTCTGCAATAAAGAAGCAGCACAAGAAGCGGTTAAGCTGGTAATGCTTTGTCATGATTTTTTACTTTGGAGATATACTGTAGATAAATTAAAAATAAAAATTCCTACATGGAATTTGTCATTCTGTGTAAAAATCCATTGGATAGACCTTGACAACCAAGGAAACAGCCCGTTGTCATCTTTTATATTCCTTGCAATGCAAGAAACCCCAAGGTGAAAACCTTTTTGGCTTGTTTAGGGTTGTATCAAATGGTGTGTGTCAAGATAGGATGGTACCATGATTTTAAAGATCTAAATCTTGATTGTTAAATTCTAATACAAGCTGTAAAATGTGAATATCATTTAAATTAGTTTTCAATCTTTTTAAATCTGCAGCTTTCATTAAAATATCTGGCAATCATGGCAACAAAAAGGTTCTTGTTCAGGCACTTCCTGTTAGGAGTAAAAGTCAACCATTTAAGGATTTAGATCTATTCTAAAGTGATACTGAATGCAATTTTTTTTTCTAACACTAAAAATAAAAAAGATGTTATACTTATCTGCTCTGTACAGTGGTCCCTTACTTCCTCTATAGAGTCCCCCATGGATGTTGGAATGTATACATCCATAGACATGCAACACCAGTAATCCACACCCCAGATCCCTTCTCACAGGTGTTTGACAGCACCAGGAGCCTATGTGTCTCCTATGAGACCAGGAAGTGGAGGAGTGGTGCTGCAGACTGGACAGTGCTGAAGTGGAGGAGTGGTGCTGCAGACTGGAAAGTACTGGAGCGGTGAGAGGTGCAGGACAGGTAGTGGAGTGTTCATTTTTTTTTTGTACTCTTTTAATGAAAAAATAATAGCATTAAGGTAAACGTTTAGACTTTTGAACCGCTTTAAGTATTATTTTTTTTTTATGAGCAATTTTACACTTTCTGCCCAGATAATTGTTAACCTCATTTCTTTCTTGTTCTTTGAGGGACATAGGATTATGTTATAATTAGGTCACAACTAGATGAGGATTTAGACACGTAAATGTGTCCTGGAGAGATAGATTTAATTTGTCTACCAAGAAAGATTTAAACATTTTACTGGCCATTTTTTTCTTTTCTTAAAGATTTGATTTTTTTCTTCATTAAATTTTCTCTACATGCTGCTTCAGCTGATTTAAGTACTCATGTATCCAGATCTGCCTTATTATCAACAGTGGTGTTGAACTGGACAATTGTTGGGCTAGCCTGGAATGTGTCCCACTGGGCACCTTTACTCCTTTTTTCTCTTGGTTTACTGCAGAAAGAGTCAATCCTGAAGGACTGAGCATTGACACCTTTAAGGGGAATGTTACACCTGTGCTCCTGTTCTGCCACACAGTGTGTGATACCATCTTCCTACTACTGCTTTTGGTTGCAAGTGACACAGGATCTTCCTTTGTTAGTTTTTGCTGTCTGCCTACAGTGACTTGGCCACCTCCCAACTGTACAAACTTTTATTACTACCACCAGTTTTAGTACCCAAGGTTTAGCCTTGTGCCTTATGCAGGCCATAAACGGTTCGTTTATCGGCCAATTTCTGGTCCGAAAGAATAATCGGACGATTTTCACACTGTTAGTGGGGCAGTGGCCGATTTTTGCGGTTCCTCATTTCTTTTATCGGTCATTGTGGAAAATTTGTGAAAACCGGCTGATTTTCGCAATCATTGGTGGCAACAGAACAACCGATATTTCGTTTTTTCGGATGAAAAATTGGTCGATAAACGAACCGTCTATGGCCTGCATTAAGCTATGTTGTCTGTCTTGCAGCGCAACATATTGGTTCCCAGGCACATGGGGAGCAGTCTTGCTGTAATTGATTCTTCTAGCTCATGGCCCACTAACTGTTCTGGTGCTGCCTGCTGTGCACCCACATGAGCAACTGACTCTTGGCAGACTGGAATGTTGCCCTCTGCTTTAGATCTCGGAGTCTTCTTTAGCTCCTTCAGGTGCAAATCCATCCTGTGTTCTCCCCTGGGAGGATTTCACTGCACTTATGCAGGATTTAATGAGACAAATAGCAACCCTGATTGCTGACACTGCCAGCATAGTACCCCACACCTTCCCCTGCAGAATTTGCATCTAATCTGCCTACGTCTTTGACAGCCTCTGAATCTTTTGCCACATGGAATCTCCCCAATAAATGGTCTCAAATCATTACTGGATGATATTGTCTCTGAGGAGTCTCAGCCAGCTGCCATTACTCCCTAGAGAGACTGTTTCAACCCTTATTTTGGTAATTCTTTTCAAAACCTCATTCTCTACCTGACCCTGCATTATAGCCTACATTAGCTGCAATGCAAGTTGTTAAAATTTAGATGACTGGACTAGGGCCATGAGAAGGGATCATGTTTCTTTCAAAACTGATCCCTTGTTTGTGGAATGTTTAAAGCGAATATCAACAGCCCTATATTTTTCTTGTGTTGAGGAGACAGTAATCATCTTGTCTTTACGAGTCTCCTGTAAGTGAACATGAGGAGAACTCTCCAGTTGAAATGCTGGATTTGTAAAAAAAAAAAGAATTCCCACTTCGAGGGACAAGCATCTTTTTGGTGCTGTCTTTGACATCCTCCTTAGAGATATCATTGGGGGTAAGAGCACTTATCTGTCACAGCAGAAGAAACCTAGACCTTGGACCGGGAAAAATCTTCCCCCCTCTGGGACCAAGAAGAGTGCCTTTCATTATTCTTAGGCCTTAACCTTCAAAGCCAGATACCCAGTTCAACTGCAAAACTTGGGCCTCTAAACACCCCAAAATTCCTGACAAATCCTTTTCAACAAGAAGGAGCACCCTATCTTCCAAAGTTTGGGAAAGTCTGTTAACCTTTGTGGACACCTGGTCTGACAGCATCTCTGATTCCTATGTATGAGACACGGTTTCCAGGGGCTACAATTTACAATTCTGCTCTCGGTTCTCTGTTGACTTCCATTTCTAATCTATCGGGGATTTTCCGCTTTCCACCTTAATCACAGGGATGCTTATCTTTTTTTCCCTCACCTCCTATGAGCTGTGTGTCTGGGCTGATTGTTTTGTAATATAAAGATCCATTTCTGCTGTCATAGGAACAAAGTAGTATTGAAACCCAGAGCCTCCTTCCTTCCTAAAGTGGTTTTCGTCTTTCATCTCAACGAGGACATTGTTCTATCCCTGTGCTACTCCAGTGCATCCGAAGGAAATCTCCCTTCATTTTCTGATTGCAATCACTAAAGGGAACATAGCTGCTCATTCTACCATTTCCTGGTGGCTTTAGACAGATTATTTGTTCAAGTTTAAAGCGGAACTTCACTCTCTCAATCAACATTGACTTTTTTTAATCCTTATGCTGCTAGCATCCAAAAAAAGATAGGAAAGTAAATCATATTTACATATTCACGTTTTAAACTTTTTTTTTTTTTTTTTTTTTTTTTTTTTTTTAATTTCCTTAGTTACTTCATGGTTTCCTTGCCTAGGCAAGTGATGTCATGCATCCATTGTAGTCCCTCCTGTCTGCATGCCTGAGCTAAGAGCAGAAAGATTGCAGTAAGTGAATGCTACAGGAATCCTCTGAAACTCCTGCTGTCAGAATACAATAGCTCAGCTATTGTGTTCTGACAGTGTGTTAATGGGGGAATTGAGCAACAGTGGGGAAAATAATTATTTGATCCCCTGCAGATTTTGTACGTTTGCCCACTTACAAATAAATTAAGGGTCTATAATTTTTTTTTATCATGTGTATTTTAAATGATAGAGACAGATTATTAACCAAAACCAAAATAAAAAATGCGTGTTATAAATTGAGCTGCAGTTCAGTGAGTAAAATGAGTATTTGATCCCCTACCAACCAACAGTAATTCTGGCTCCCACAGACTGGCAGTGTGCTCAAGTGGTACACAAATTAGTCTTGTCAATTTAAGAAGGTGCTCCTAACGACAACTTATGTGTATGAAAGACACCTGTCGACAGAATCTTTCTTCCATTCAAACCTCACCATCATGGGCAAGACTAAAGAGCTGTCAAAGGACATCAGGGACAAGATTGTAGACCTGCACAAAGCACATGGGCTTACAAGAGCATCAGCAAGAAGCTTGGTGAGAACAACTGTTTGAGTGATTATTTGCAAATAGAAGAAATACAAAATAACCATCAATCACCCTTGGTCTAAAGCCCCATGCAAGATTTTGCCTCATGGGGTAAGAATGATCATGAGAAAAAAGAGGGATCAGCCCAGAACTACATGGGAGCTTGTGAATGATCTCAAGGCAGTTGGGACCACAGTCACCAAACAAATCATTGGTAACGCAATATGCCGCCATGGATTGAAATCCTGGAGCACCTGCAAGGTCCCCTTCCTCAAGAAGGCACATGTACATGCCCATCTGAATGATTCAGAGAAGGAGTGGGAGAAAGTTTTGTGGTCACACGAGACCAAAACTGAGCTCTTTGGCATTCACTCTACTTACGTGTTTAGAGGAAGAAAAGTGGAGACTATGACCCTAAGAACACCATTCCTACAGTCAAGCGCAGGTGGAAACATTATGCTTTGGGGCTGTTTCTCTGCTAAAGGTACAGGCTGACTTTGCCACAATGATGGGCCAATGGACGGGGCCATGTATTGTAAGATTTTTGATGAGAATCTTCTTCCCTCATCCAGAACACCAAAAATGGGTCATGGATGGGTCTTCCAGCATGACAATGACCCAAAATGCCAAGGCAGCAAAGGAGTGGCTCAAGAAGAAGCACATTAAGGTCCTGGAGTGGCCTAGCCAGTCTCCAGACCTTAATCCTATAAAACATTTATGGAGGAGGCTGAAGCTTTGAGTTGCCAAGCGATAGCCAAGAAACCTTAAGGATTTAGAGAAGATCTGTAAAGAAGAGTGGACCAAAATTCCTCCTGAGATGTGTGTAAACCTGGTAACCGACTACAAGAAATGTCTTATCTCTGTGTTTGCCAACAAGGGTTTCTCCACCAAGTACTAAGTCATATTTTGCTTGGGGATCAAATACTTATTTTACTCCCCAATCTGCAACTCAATTTATAACATTCATATCGTGTTTTTTTTCTGGATTTTTGGTTGATATTCAGTCTCTATCATTTAGAATACACCTATGATACAAAATATAGACCCTTCATTTCTTTGTAAGTGGGAAAACTTACAAAATCTGCAGGGGATCAAATAATAATTTTCCCCACTGTGTCTATGGCCAGCCTGATGCTTTTATGAGAATTCTTTGAAAACTGACAGTCCAACTTTGAGCCTTGGGGTTTGATTATTTGCTGCTATATTAAATGTCTTGGAATAGATTTCTACCCCCATATTTACAGAGAGATGTACATTTTTACCTTTCTCTTTTCAGTGTGACAACTATGAAATACGCCCTGGCAAACACATTGGAGTGTGCATTTCTGTTGCAAATAACAGACTTTTTGTTGGATCAATACCCAAAAATAAGACAAAAGAAAATATTCTAGAGGAATTTAGTAAAGTTACAGGTACTGTTTTTAGGCAAATTTAATTTTTACTGATATTATGAGGTTATACATTTGTAAGATTTTATTTACATAAAACCAGTTGAAGGATAACTGCATGATTATCCCATGTTCATAAATACCCTCCCTTCAGTGCCTGTCTGCATTGTTGTAAGATTCCCTCTCACTTCCTGTCCTGGGGAAAATATTTTTACCTAACAGGAAGTGAAGGATTCTTTCCAAAGGATCCTTCTAAATTAGTAAACCTGATGATTTCTAATTCTTTCCCACTATCAAAAAAAAAAAAAAAAAAGCGTAGATACATTTTAGCACATAGATGTAATAATTTACTGATGCTTGTATGCAGGATCTTGCTGGCAGAGAAATTCTGAACAAAAACACAAGTTATGTCCGTATGGACCTTGTACATCCTTTTCTAGATACTAGTGTTAAAACGTATTCATATATGTAAATTGTAAATTTATCCTTTAATATATACGTACATTTTTATTTTACACTCTGAACTCTCTCTTACTGATCTTTACATAGCTGTGTGCATTGTCTCTTAGACAACAGTGTACCTGTGTTCATATATGTAAAAAAGAGGCCTTTGCCCATGTTCTAGAGGACTAATAAGTAATATTCAAGTTCTGTATTTTTTGCTGTTTTGCTCTTTCCAAATAGCCATTGACAGTTCATTCTGTATATTCTAGAGGGACTGGTGGATGTGATCCTGTATCACCAACCGGATGACAAGAAAAAGAACCGAGGGTTTTGTTTTTTGGAGTATGAAGACCACAAGAGTGCAGCTCAAGCCAGACGCAGGTTGATGAGCGGAAAGGTGAAGGTTTGGGGGAATGCAGTCACTGTAGAGTGGGCAGATCCAGTGGAGGAGCCAGATCCTGAGATTATGGCAAAGGTGAGTAGCTGAAGAAGAAGCTAATGTGCACATATGTTCAGAGAATTTAGTATTGAATAGAGAGAAATGCAATTTTAACAAATATTGTTAAAATTGATACTATAGCCAAATTTCTCACTTTTGCTAGAATAAATGAATGGCAATATAAAAAGTGGCAAAATTATTAAATTCATATTGCAAAAGGAGGTTCATAAAGCAGATTAATTTATAACCTATATCTTGCTATGGCAAAAAACCAAACAAACAGGAAAGTACCCTACTCCATGTGAAATTCTACTTGGTCAGCCTAGAAAATTAGGATATCCTGATAATATAAAGCTGTGAATGCATCCGATTAAACCGGCCTTTGGCTAAAGATAAATATATGGGTCAATTCATACAAGATGTAAGAGTTATTTAAAGTGTAACTAAAGGCATTTTCTCCATTTTTTTTTTCCCTTCATTTTTTTCTTTGTACATTCATTCTGGTAACCTTCATTGAAAAGACTATATTTTCCTAAATCATGCTTTTTTTAGGTCAAAGTACTTTTTGTGAGAAACCTGTCTTCTACAGTAACTGAGGAAATCCTGGAGAAGAATTTTTCAGTGTTTGGGAAGCTGGAGCGAGTTAAGAAGCTAAAGGATTATGCCTTTGTACACTTTGAGGAGAGAGACTCTGCAGTCAGGGTGAGACCAATTAATTATTGATTTTCAGAAACCAAACTGGTAAGAATAATGGGGAAATTTTAGATGTAGCTATGTATTCAAAATCATGCAAACAGTTAGTTATATTGTGGCCCATACACGTTTTATATTTGGTTTATTATTACTGACACCTGAAGTGGAAATCAGTCTTAACCACTTCCCGACCGCCCTATAGCAGAAATACTGCTGCAAGGTGGCACGGGCGCGCAAAATCACACACACACACACACACACACACACACACACACACACACACACACACACACACACACACACACACACACACACACACACACACACACACACACACACACACACACACACACACACACACACACACACACACACACACACACACACACACACACACACACACACACACACACTCTCTCTCTCTCTCTCTCTCTCTCTCTTTTGCATTTCTGGGTAAGGAGCACGCGCCCTACCCACGCCGGTGTCTGGTGATTTGCTAGCATCTCCGACGGGGAGAACTGTTTGTAAACAAAACAGTTCTCCTCCCTGTCAGATCGTGCACACTGCTTTGGATGGCTGTGCAGAGCCATGCAAAGCAGCGTGCTTACAGTGAAGCACACGGGCACAAGTAAAACAGCACACAGTTAACCCTTTGATTACCCCTCATGTTAACCTCTTCCTGCCCAATGCCATTAGTACAGTGTCAGTGCTTTTTTTTTTTTTAGCACTGATCACTGTATGTCAGTGACACCAAGTCAGTTCCCCACAGTGTCAGAATGTCCACCTCAGTCCCGCTATAAGTCGCTGAACGCCGCCATTGCTAGTAAAAATAAGAATTAAAAAAATTAAAAATCCCAGTATATATACCGCCATTTGTAATCGCTATAACTTTCACATAAACCAATTAATTTACATGTGTTGGGATTTTTTTTTATAGCAAAGACATGTAGCAGAATACATTTTGGCCTAAATATGATGAGATTTGATTTTTAAAATTTTTTACTGGACATGTTTAATAGCAAAATGTCAAAAATATTGTTTTTTCTTTTCTCAAAATTGTCGGTCTTTTTTTTTTTTTTTTTTTTTCTATAGTGCAAAAAATAAAAACCAAGCAGGCGATCAAATGCCACCAAAAGAAAGCACAATTCGTGGGAAAAAAAGGATGTAAATTTCATTTGGGTGCAGCGTTGCATGTCCGCACTTGTCAGTTAAAGTAACGCAGTGCCGTAACGCAAAAAATGGCCTGGTCAGGAAGGGGGATAAATCCTCAGGAGGGCAAGTGGTTAAGTAGACAGGAAAGAATATAAGAGTAATGATGCCAAAAGTGAATGCAGCATAACCATCTAAAAACATATTCTTTTCTAGAAATCTCCTGCTGACTTGTTTTGCCATAGACAAGCAGGACATTGCCTTCAGCATTTTTTATTTAGTCGGGTGGCTTTAGGTTTGTGCCATTCCCATCAATCACATTGCTTAATGTTGGGTTACCTTGTTGCTTCTGGATATTCAGTCCTATCAATTTCCATAAAAGGCAATGGATGAAATGAATGGAACAGACTTGGAAGGAGAAGAAATTGAAATAGTATTGGCAAAACCCCCAGACAAGAAGAGAAAAGAGCGGCAAGCAGCTCGACAAGCTTCTCGCGGTCCATTGTGAGTATATTATACATTTCTTTTATTTCCTTGTCAAGGCAAATTAAAAAAAAAAAAAAAAAACATATTTAGTACTTCCCCGGAAGAAATGTTTTATCCCTTTAAACACGCTGCAAGTTCAGAAAATTAATTTGAGGTTGCAGAAATATATCCTTTTCCTACCTTCCTCTCTGACATGACAACACAGTGAGGGGAATTTACTGGAGTAGCTGTGTATAGCTACCAGTTATCTTCTAGCTTTCATTTTCAAAGCTTAACTGAACAAGGTGAAGTTAGAGGATGATTGGTTGCCATACACTGCTTCATCGATTTTAGTAAATGTCCCAATGCATGTGATGTCAGCCTTGGCTACTTCATTTTTCATGTATTAACACAGAACTCTCCTCCCCCTTTCTCATCTCCATAACCCCCTTGTGCACAGGCAGAGAGCGCAAAAAGTTATTGGCTCACAAGATTTCTGGCAAAATTACTTCCCCTTTTTAAGCATTTGTAGTTTTGCTGGTGGGCATTTGATAAAGCATTCCAAATGTTTAGTAAAAGGGTAGATGATGTAAAATAAACTTGTCCTCTTTCGCAGAGTATAAAAATATGCATTTTAGGTAAGAGAAGAAGAGTTTGGGGAGGCCAATGTGGAAGGCGATTTACAATGCAACGGGTATGGTTTTTTTTTTTTTTTTTTTTTTTTTTTTTTTTTTTTTTTTGAGATTTCTGGGCTGATTCCTCTTACAAAGGATGTCCAGTAAGCTATTTGGCTGCCTGTTACCTGCTTACTCTACACTTGCAAACCACGTTCTAAGTGTTTGCACATCATCTGACTGGAAGTCTATTTGACTTATGTTGGGCTCCCCTCACATCTCTGTAGACCAGGAAAGATTGCAGATGTAATTTTATACTACAACACAAACATACTAGAATACTTATTCTAACACTCAGGTGAGTTTACGTCATATTAATTTGGCTGGAGAACTGCTTATAAAATGATCCAAAAAATTTATTCAGACAAACCTGTATAGCACTATTCCCTGTAAGATGGACTTGAATTATCTGCATTTTTTTACTGATAGTTTTTTAATCCAGGGGAGGACATGCAGAGAGTCTGTTGTAACCTGTTCAAAATGATACAATGACAAGAATAAATTGGAATGAATCTTGATGTTTAATTTATACTGGGAAAAAAATGCTAAATGTGATATTTACTGTATTATCAAATTAGATAAGCTGCATTTATGAAGGACTGGGAGCAGTGCAAAGTGCATTAATCCAATCATATTACAGTTCATGTGTTCAGGTTTATAATTGCAATTGGTTGCTTTGGGTTACTACAGTTTGCACAGTCACTGGACCTTATACTGTCTTTTAAAGTAAGCTGATTTGTTGTGTTTTTGTGTTTGATTTCTGTTGTATGCAGTCATTAAAATGGCTAGATGTTAAGGGGGAAATATAGTGTTTTCAGCAAGTATATATTTTGAGCTATTATTATTACAGTGTTTACCTTTAAAACTGAACTTCAGACAGATATAAAAGACACAAATTAATGCAACTCTGTATTTATTTACCCATCACTACCAGAGCGGTTTTAATAATTTAGGCCTGAAGATTAGTTAAAACCCCTAAACCTTTATATATTTTCTGAAAGCAGAGACCCTTGAGAGTAAAATAGTGCAAGATCTAATATTTTATGACACACAATATTATTATTATTATACAGTGTTTATATAGCTCCAAACGGTTTGCTCAACGCTGTACATTAGCGTGGGGGACAGAACATGAGACAAAACAGTACAACACAATACACAAGGGGTTCGAGGGCCCTGCTCTTTGGAGCTCACAATCTAGGAGGGAGGGGATAGTGGTACAGGAGGAAGTGGCTGTGGGGGATGGAGTGGTATGAGGAGTGGAGGAGATTGGTTGTTACGTGAGGGTGGGGTAGGCTTCCCTGAATAGATGGGTTTTTAGGGTGCGCCTGAAGGTGAGGAGGGTAGGTGACAGTCTGATGGATTGGGGTAGGGAGTTCCAGAGGATGGGGGAAGTCCTGGAGAAGTCCTGCAGTCGGGTGTGGGAGGAGGAGACTAGGGAGCTGGAGAGTAGGAGGTCCTGTGAGGAGCGAAGGGCACGGGTAGGGTGGTATTTGGGTATCAGGTCGGTTAGGTAGTTTGGGGCAACTTTGTGAATGGCTTTGTATCTCAGAGTTAGTAGTTTGAATTTAATGCGTTGGGCAATCAGGAGCCAGTGAAGGGATTGGCAGAAGGGGGTGGCAGAAGTGGAGTGGTTGGTGTGGTGGATGAGTCTAGCCGCTGAGTTCAGGATAGACTGGAGTGGGGATAGCATTTGTTTGGATAGGCCAGTGAGAAGAGGGTTGCAGTAGTCCAGGCGTGAGATAATGAGGGAGTGTACGAGTTGTTTAGTAGTGTCTGGGGTGAGGAACGTACGTATCTTGGAGATGTTGCGAAGGTGGAGCCTGCATGACATTGATAGTGATTGGACATGAGGTTGGAAGGAAAGGTTTGAGTCCAGGGTGACACCCAGGACCTTGGCGTGTGGGGTGGGATTGATGGTGGCATTGCTTGTCGTAATGGAGGGGGGGGGGGGGGGGCGCGGGCTGGGGGAAAAACTAGGAGCTCGGTTTTGGACAGGTTTAACTTGAGGAAATGGAGCGACATCCAGTCTATGTCGTTCAGGAGGTGGGCGATGTGGGCGGAGAGTGAGGGGTGGAGAGGTAAATTTGTGTGTCGTCAGCATAGAGGTGATAGTTGAAGCTGTGGGAATGTATCCGTTTGCCAAGGGAGGAGGTGTAGATAGAGAAGAGGAGGGGTCCGGGGACAGAGCCTTAGGGGACACCGACAGAGGGGGGGAGGTGGCAGCGTTATAGGTAACGCTGAAGGAGCGTTGGGATAGGTAGGAGGAGAACCAGGAGAGAGCAGCGTCCCCTGAAGCCAAAGGAGTGCAGTTTAGTAAGGAGGAGGGGGTGGTCGATTGTGTCGAAGGCCGCGGAGAGGTCGAGGAGCAGGAGGACTGAGTAGTGGCCATTAGCTTTGGTGGTTAGCAGGTCGTTAGTAATTTTAAGTAGGGCGGTTTTTGGTGGAGTGTAGGGGATGGAAGCCAGACTGTAGTGGATCAAGGAGGTTGTTATCAGTGAGGGTGGTGCTTAGGCGATTGTAGGGTAAGCGCTCAAGGAGCTTGGAAGTGAATGGCAGCAGGGAGATGGGTCTAAGGTTGTTTAGGTCCGTGGGGTCAAGGGAAGGTTTTTTGAGTATGGGGGTGATGTGTGCGTGCTTTAGGGGGGAGGGGAATGCGCCAGAGGAGAGGGAGAGATTGAAGATGTGGGTGAGGGAGCGAATGATGGAGGAGGGGGGTGACTGGAGGAGTTGTGAGGGGATAGGGTCCAGGGGGCAAGTGGTGAGGCGGGCTTCAGTGAAGACCTTAGTGACCTCCTCAGTGGTAGCAGGGCTGAAGGAGCGGAGTGTTGGGGAGGTTATAGTGTGCGGGTGTTGGGCATGGTGGGGGGCAGTGCGTTTGCGAGGTCAGAGGAGGGGAGAGTTGAGCGGGTGATGGAGGGAGGGAGGCTAGGTGGAGAGGTAGATTGTGAATTGACAATGTCCTTACGGATTGCGTCAATCTTGTTTTGGAAATGATTGGCAATCTCGTGGGCGGTGAGTGAGGTACTGAGTGGAGATGGGGGGGGGGGGGGGGGGGGGGGGGGGGGGAGAGCAGGGATTTGAAAGTGGAGAAGAGCCGGCGAGGACAGGTGGAGAGGCGCACAGGTTTTTTCAGTGCCATTTTTCAGTAAAAAAATGCAGTAAAGCTTTATGCAAACTGTACTCTATTGATGCCTTTTTTTCTCCTACAGGAGTTTAGCAACAACAAAAATGCACTGAAAAGCGGAATTTTTGCATGCACATTTGATGTGCATTCTCCTCCCTTGTCTGGTTCTATTGGGCAGAATTCTGAGCATTAGAATGCATTAACACGGAAATGTGCCTAGCATTAGGGCACCTTTTAAACACTTTTGAGGGTTTTTGATGCTCAAAAGCTCCTCTCCTGAACACCCAACTGACATGTTTTTGTTTTTTCTTTCCTGCCTCTAAACGTCCCTACCTCACACATGGAGGGGTGTATAGAGGTGGAAATAAAAAGCTCAAACACCTATAAAAGTAGCATTTTTGAGGCTGCAGTGTGTATGAAGCCTAAAGTTAATTTTAGGGCACACTAACACAATATGTTGTTCAGTTTTTCTGAGAGACCTTAAAAGCGATTGGGTGGCTGTAGAGTCACTTGGTCACTCATCTGAATCCGGACAGTCGGTGAGATATATACGCATTCCTGGATGCATGCATGCATGCAGTGTAAGGGCTAGTTCATACTAGATGCATTCCAGTGCGTTTTTTTTTCTGCATCAAAAATGCATGCACAGTGTTTGCCATGTATTCCAATGGCCCTAGTTCACACCAGTGCAGTCAGTTCCAGTCAGTTTCCGGTGCAGAAAAAAAAGTCGAACATGCTGCATTTTTTATGCAAAGAACCATACTGGAGTTTACATAGTAAACTGCATCAAAACTGCACCTGAACTGCGTGTGGTGTGAACTGTAAGCAAAAACGCATCCGGAGTGCGTTTTTGTGGTGTGAACTGGCCCTAAAGCCGTTTATACATGGATTTAATGTTGGCTGGTTCAGCAGAGACCGGACGAGATTCAATCCATGTACAGACGAGATTCAGTCTATGTATGGGCAGGCTGATTGTACCCAAGTCCATTCATTGACTCAATTTCCCTCCGGCAGAACACAATAGCTCTGCATGAGGCATTTCCCCATCAGCACTGACTGTATTGGTGGGGAATTCAAGCAATTTTCTTTTCTTCTACCTGTGGTAGAAGGAAATAAAATCATTTAATCTATGGTCTGCTTAAGTATAGTAATTTGGTCACTTCAATATAAGATACTTCCACTGTACATTAGAGCGCAAACTGAAAGAGAAGCAGCACAATGAGGCAATAAGTTTGGCTACAGTGCGCAATACATGCTTTATACATCTCTGGATTAATAAATTACAAATTTTTTGTCATGTAAGTTGTATTTATATGTATTTAATCTGTGTATTTAGCTCTTTGCCTGGAGTTCAGCTTTAAAGTACACTGCCATTGCTACTTCTCATTTTGCAAATTCTAGTTTCCTGGTTGTCCTGTTTACTTTGTAGCTTCAATATTTTATATCCTTCTTCTGGAACAAGCATGGCAATAAGACTCTCTTGATTGTATTCTGACTTTACAGATATGCATGCATCCCTCAGGAAAAGTTTGCTCTAAAATTTTTAAATCTATTTTGATGTGACTCACACATTACATGCTAGCACTTCATAATATTGTTGTATTTATTATAGAAAATTGTAGATTAACAACAACTTTAGTCATGTAAGGTTTGCAAACTTGTAGACTTGCATAATGAGAAGCAGCAAAAATGTACGATCATGTAAAACTGCATAGCAAAAACAGAGCTTTCATATGTAATGAACAAGTATGGTTGACCCATTTTGCCTGATTGATTGTAAACTATAAATATTTTAAATGTTGTTTATACCTAAACATTGATTGGATTATTCACATTGAGCTGATCCTTAACATATATAAATCTTTAACAAAAAAAAGAGGAAGAGAGGAAAAACATTAAAAACGCTATACATTCCCTTTTAAAATCGCACGGTGTAGCAATTGCTAAGTACAAGTATACTATAGTTTTTTTTTTAATCCACTGCATTTGTATTTCTTTTGCTTTTTAGTAAAAATGCTTGCTTGTGCTTATACTTGGTTTATATTCATAGGTATGATGATTTTTACTATTATCCCCCTCCTCGTATGCCTCCTCCAGGCAGAGGCAGGGGCCGTGGAGGCAGAGGTGGCTATGCCTATCCCCAAGATTACTATGGCTATGAAGATTACTATGATGATTATTATGCATTCGATTACCATGACTACCGCGGTGGATATGATGACCCATACTATGGTTATGATGATGCATACCCTGTGCGAGGGAGAGGCGGAAGAGGTGGTAGAGGTGCACCTCCACCACCTAGAGGTAGAGCAGCTCCACCCCAACGTGGAGGGCGCTCAAATTTTTTACAAAGGGGTTCTCCCATGGGCCCTCCTAGAGGATCCAGAGGTGGACGTGGTGGGCCTTCTCAACAATCACAACGAGGTCGGAATTTGCGTGGTAACCGTGGAAATAGAGGTGGGAATGTTGGTGGAAAAAGAAAGGCAGACGGGTACAGTCAGCCAGATTCCAAGCGTCGCCAGACCAACAATCAGCAGAATTGGGGAAGCCAGCCCATAGCCCAGCAGCCACTGCAGCAAGGTGGTGATTATAGTGGTAACTATGGTTACAGTAATGACAGCCAGGAGTTTTATCAGGATTCTTATGGGCAGCAGTGGAAATAGGAAAGGCTAAAACCACACCTTTTCATCATTCAAACGCCTACAAATATATATATTTACATACCAACAAATATATAGGCTTCAGTAGCTGCTGCAGTCTTTACTAGGCCCTGTGTTTGATTACTATACTGTAAATATCTTTTTTAGTTTGTTTTATTGGTGTCCACCAAGCAAGCATTGGTACAATTATGAATACCCATGTAGGATTCGTTTAAACTTAAAATCAAGCCTCGGATGTGAGTTTTCTGCTTAACTTAAATGTTTACACACATTTTTAGACTGATAAAAATGTTTGCATTAAACACTGATATTTAGTTTGGGTGATAGCACCCATCACCAAGTAATTAGGGTATACCAGTGTTTTTCTTGGTTTTTAGGAGATTTTTTTTTAGAAGGTTTAGGAATTTGTTACTGGAGACAGTAAACATTTGTGCTGAATTTGTAGTTTATTTTGATAATTGTCCCTAAAGGACACCTGTCCTGAGAGAAATCTATGCAGGCTACCATTGCAGACCCTCTGTACACATGCTTGTTAAGCGGTTTGCGGCTTCAGTTCTTTTTGACTCTGGACAAGAATTCAACAAGTTGTCGGTCCTAATCTGCATGCATGGAAAGTACTGAAACTAGGGGATTACCCTACTGGCAGTCTGCAATGGCAGCTTTAGTAGTTCCCTCATGAGAAGTTGTCATAAGGATATTTTCCAGAAAAAAAAAAATCAAAAGAAAAACTTTTGTCTCCAAAAGAAATACTACCGTTCCGTTACATGTTAGGGAGTTCTGTGATACACCGTTGGCTAATTTACTTGTACAGGAGATCTGAGGCTGTGTGAGCTCTGGTCTGAAATTCCACACCAAAAAGGTGGACTGGTCATTTAAGATCGTTTTGGGCATTCGTGTCTCATGGCTTTCTCTAGAAACACATTTGTTTCCAATGTTAGCAATTTGGACCGCACACAGCCATTTCCTCTTTTTGCAACATAATTAGCCAAAGACTGTATATCTCAGGACAGCCCACCCAGGCTAAACTTTTGTTTCCTGAAGAACCTTTGTCAAATGGAATAACGATGTACATAAGTGTAAACACTAGATGAGTCTTCAGTAGTTTTAATAGATGTCTTTATAAGCATTTTAAAGTTTTGTGTAACTGTTTTGCATTCCTAGGTATAGATTAATTTTATTATTTTTTTTTATACAACTTCACATTTTTTGGAAGGGAAACAAGTTTTAATTTTTACCAAATTGTTTGGTTATGGCTCTACAAGCCTCTACAGTTTGTTCTGTGACTGTATATTAAGTTTTCTTGTTCATGTACAATTTCAATAAAAATTACAAAAAAGAAGTTAAAACTAAAACCCACTGCAAACAACCACACCATTTCCATACATGGTTGTATCTTATTAAAAAGAGAAAAAGAGAAACTAATTCTGAGTTGTGATTCTTGCAACAAACACAATCCTGAGGATGGACTGCATATGTGAGTGATCAAATACTTTTAGGTGAAACTGTAAATTAAAAAAATAAACCAATCTAAAATGTTTCCTGTAATTGTCAACAAAGGTCATTAGCGTTCTTATAAAATGGTGAACTGTTGCTTAATTCACTTTTCCAATTTCCAAATTTGAATTTAGCGTGAACAAATGTATATTGCACATATTCTTGATGACAAGCACATTGAAAATCCATTAGTGGGTAGAATAGCAAGGGCAGGGTCTTCTATTATTCCTCATGTCTTTCTTAAAGCTTTTTTTTGTTTTGTTTTGTTTATAGGCAAAACTTTTTTCATTTTGGCTTATAACCCCTGTCAATTTATTTTTGGCATCTGTGTCCCAGTCTGGAGATTTTCCCTTCACTTTCCCTTCCTTTTTTGGAATCCCTCCACAGTGGGGGAATCCCTGGTTGTCACCAGAACTAGGCCCCTTTGGAAGATTTCCCTTCCTATTACTGTCCTGGTGACAACCAAAAACCTGGGATTTCCTGTTACTATCAGCTTTGGTGATAATGGTCACTAGGACAAGTTGAGGGTGAATCTCTCTAATGATGGCACAGACAGCAATAAAACACCTGACAACTTTTAATAATTATGTTTGCTGAAGTCTATGCATTTGTACTTCCTTTTTTGGTCCATTAGGAATTTTCTGGTGGCTACCAGATCATTTGAAGCATGTATTAACTGCAACAACAAGGTTTCTACAACAATTTATTTTTACGTGTTTTATTTATTTTAATTTTTTTTAGTTTATTGTGAAAACTGATGTGCAGAGGATATGACAGGAATTTATCTGGTTGCTTGTACCATCTTAGAGGGAAACTATTGTGCATTTCTGATAACCGGTTTTTTATGGTGTTTCTCTAATGTGTACCCTAAAGCATATCTAAACCTAAAATAAGAAATAAAAGATATTGCGGCTCAACAACACTTAGATGTGGTGGCTACATTTTGGTTTTGTTGATTTAAGTAACAAATTAAAGTCTAAAGACAGCTGAGAATTTTAAAGCAGTTACAGCAACTTTTTTTTTTTTTAGGTAAAGTTTTCAGCTATAGGAATAAAGGCTGACCATTATAAGCTACCCCTGTCTGTGTTAAATGGTTTGTCTCACCCCTCTATGTGCCACGACAGCTTGGTCTGTTAAAAGAAGTTAAAAAATAAGACTGTCAGGATCAAAGGGTAATACAACTATGTTGAGGAGGTGGGGGGCTCAGAAAAGCAAGCACTGCTGTGTTAATGTTAGTGACAGACTGCATAGTGTCATTTTTTTTTTTTTGGGCCATAGATCCAAATAAAAAAAAAAATAACACTGTTGGACTTATGCAGTAATCTGAACATTTAGGGCTTGAATTCTAATTCTGAAGGTTTACCTTTTGAACTATTTATTTTACATTCTTATTTGGCTTTACTCTGAGGATGATATGCACCAGATGTCTCCTGGGGTCTTTCAGTTCTTGCTGTTTCAGTTGTGTGAATTCAAGCTGATAGCGTATATTGCCTCCAAACTTCTTCGTAGCCATACCAGTATGAAGCATAGAGCTGGTAGTCATTTAAAGCAGTGGGAGTTAATTTGAAAATTATAGAGGGCCTCATAGGTAGCATCTAACACTTCCAGAGGGCTGCACAATAGTAGCTTGTTTTTGTATGTTTTTTTTTTTTTTTTGTTAGTTTTTTTTTTGTGCACATTGAAGAGAAAGTTGGAGTAATATAAGCCCAGTTGTTGGCGTCAGTGGCTGTAGTGATAACTCCAAACATAGAATGTTAGTAATCACAGTAAAAACCCCTAGCTACTGTGCCAGTAACAACCCTCAGCATTGGTCTCAGTGGCAGCAATAGTAACCCTCAGCATTGGTGTCAGTAGCTGCAATAGCAACCCCTTCATTGGTGTCAGCGGCCCTGTTAATCCCCTGTACCTCTACTGCTACCCTCTCCATCCTCACTGAATAGCTGATGAGTGCAAGCAGTAATACTCCTACCACAACCTTCATTCATTGTTGGTCCATCACGTTTCTTTTAACCCCCTTCCCTGAATTGATGGTCAGGGGTAGTGTTGTTAACCCCAATCCCACTGATCATCAGTGGGGTTAAGTTCCCCTCCAATCCCAACCATCACCTTCTTTGGTGGTCAGTGAAGTGCTGTTAACCCCCTTCCTGTATTGGTAGTCAGTGGCAAAGATTTACTTGCCAGATCACATAGTCCTTTGCTGCTCTCTCTCTGACTTCGGGCCAGGACTTAACTTTTAATGTCTGGCGAAGATAACTCCGCCTGACAGTATTGGCTTTATTATAGTCCTGGGTGTGGGAACACAGAGAGTGACACATCACTCGGCTTCCTGCTGTCTCTCAATTTTATTATTATGCCGGGTGTGGGTACGCAAAGAGCATCCCAGCATCTTGCTGCTCTAATGTGCCCAGTAGACCGCATGCTGGGTACCAGTTGTTTAAAGTCATCTTGTTTACAGTGCTCTGTTGATACTGTTATACATGTATAAAAGACAGCATGTGTCATCAGCCTGTGGTCAGACAATTGGCAGAGCAGCAACTGTTAGACCTTGTGTGGCTCCCTTGCTTTTTAAAATGCTGCAGATAGTAATTCACTAGCCAGAGAGTGATGCCTTGCTTATCCAACCAGTGAGGGAATGACACATGCAAACAGGTGAGTGTTTCACCTTATTGCTGTGTTCTTTATAGTGGTCCTGCTGTTGGAAAGTCCTGTCCAGCAGCAAGATCGCACGTATCATATTGGTCTGAGAAGGTCACAGACCATTTAAGCAGTGAGTAAGCAAGACGAAGACGAGTATCTGTGGTGGTGATGGGGTTATTTAAAAGGTCTTGTCATTTGCTCTGACTGGGCAAAGTGGCAGACTATATGTATATTGAATATGAATCTTGAACTATGAATCTAGACTGTTCTGCCTGGTTTACGTTATTTTTGTTTAATTTTTTTGTAATGCAGCTGTCATGTGATGTGCTTACTTGCATGTCATATCATATTTCCATGGAGTTGGAGATTCTGTGTATGTATGATTATTCTGCCCCTCTACCCCCCCCCCCCCCCCCCCCCGATCTGCAGTAGTAGGGATAAATGATTTACTAAAAGAGTTGCCAATCTTCACTTAAAATTTTGTGTAAATATTCACTTCCGTTATCCAATGATGTGGAACACATCTGCATATTAATGGGTATTCAAAACAGCTCATACGATTACATTTATGTACATGAAGCTATTCACTTCAATGTATATCTCTAAAAAAAAAAAAAAAAAAATACTATAGTTTCCCTTTAAGTATGTTGGTATATTGGAATCTTAAAAATAAAAGTTAAGGTTACTGTTTATCCAGTGTCAGCAATAGCACTAAAAAGGCTCTAAAAGCTTAGGCACAGTATTGGGTTACTTGGCTTGTGGGCCTTGTCCATCCCTATGTAAAAAGTTAATCAAATCAAAATGTGCACTAACTTCAACTCTTCTAAATAAATGGGGTTTTACAAACTCTTAAAACATTTCTTTATTATCCA